CCTTGTGCCGTGCAGCGCAAGAACTGCACATAGTTTATCTTTTTAAGACGTCCGTAGGTTTCTGTTTTCTTGGAATTCTTGGGGATTCAGCTGGGAGCTGCGATCATACCCACACTTTATTTATTTATTTTATAAAAGGGACTTTGGGATTGCCTGAAGTTTAGGCAACTGACGGCGGAGGAGAGAAGAGATGCAGCTGTCGCCTCCGGGGTGTAGGGTCCTTCACTTCAAACGCCGCTTAAAAACTCGGGAGAGGTTATCAGCTTTCGCCTTTAGGATTTAAATAAGCTCACCCAAAGGCGAATGTAATGTTTTGCTTAAAGTTTAAGCGAACTCTATACAAATCAAAGCGTTTCTAGAGCAGTTGCTTGTGGGGATTCAGGTGTAAAGCCAAAACATTCAGTGACTCAGATATACCATTTGATATGTTTCTGAATTGTTTATGCAGCACAATGAAATCCGTATCGTTTAAGGCAGTTTCCTCCTTTCAGTCTTGTTATGTCTTCCTTGTTGGGACGTTTCCTTCCTTTCAGCTTATGATGAAAACAGCTGTTTTTGCCACTGCCAGCAGTGGGTGTCTTCCCCATAAAACATAACTGGAACCAAACGGTGCCAATTTTCCAACCAGTGAGTAAAAATAAAATTACTCATTCTTTCTCTGCCTCCTTTTCTGCTTGTGTTGTGGCAGGGATTGTGCTTGGTCACGTGTCCCAGATGGTCAAATCTTTACCTGTGCAGCAATAAGCTGAAGATGGGGAGGGGGAGGCCCCGTCTTCGGCTTGAAATTTTTCTGGTCATCAGATTTCGAAAGGTCTGTGCATTTGTAGTAAAATCATAATATGAGTCACCAAAAGCAGTGGCCTTCATGCTGCTAGCAAGGGGTTTTCTCTCGCAAGGGCGTTTCTCTGAACAGCTCGAGGACACAGTGATGACCACTGTTGGTGGAACCTTGACTCTGCTTTCAACCTGAGATATGAAGACATTTAACTGTGCCAGAAACAGGTTAACACTGGACGATGTAGTGAAAAACAGGAAGGCAAGGTCAAAGTAAAAGGAGGAAGTTAGTTTATAATTATGAAGTCAGTTTTTAAAAATGATGTAATCCCTGGATTTTTACCATTTTTGAAAAGACAGAAAGGCCCACGTCTGCTCATTTCCACGTCTGAAATGAGAGGCCACCTTCATTTTTAAAGTGAGGAAATAATCGTGCAATCGTGTTGTAAGACTTCTCACAAAGCTGTCATTACACAACCGTTTACATGCCATTTATTATGTCAAGAAGAAAAAAAGAGGAAGACAAATTAAACACACAAAGCGCACACGTTATTTTGGAAAAATTTCGTTTACAAAGTACCAAGGGGCACATCAGATTATTATAAGAAAATGTAAATCTCTAAACGTTGACCTGCAGCTGTGACCCATAACCACTTCCCTTTGTGACAATGTAGAGTGTAGAGCAACATATTTAAAAGGCTTCCTGTTGCTGAAAAGGTGCATCTGTTTGCCATTTCATGCCAGGGGCTTTAACTGAAACTCTCTTACTTTAGAGAGGAGCTCGTCTCCTGCTGCTTTCACTAACACCCTGTAATGGGTTTGATCATCATTACCATTACAGTGGGTGTGAAAAGGGCAGGATATGTGTTGGGAAACAACACTTGCAAGTAGAGGATTAATGCAGTTTGAGAAAACCAGATTTATCTGAAGGGTTCAGCAGCTTCTGTACCATGAGGTAATATCACCATGCAGACTCACCACAGGGTTATTCAAGACGTCAAAGGTGGGGAAATTTTTAGCAGGGTTAATATATGTTTAATCAGCACAGACTATCATCCATGTCTGAACGAAAGAAAGCTGTCAGTGGCAACATGTCCTAAACAGGTGGCATTCTGCCTTAATACAAAGGAGGGCCTGTTTCTGGGCCCTCGGGGGCTATCGGGATTCTGAGAACAGAGATCAGAGGAGGAAACTTATATGTATAATTGAGCCAAAAACACGTCTGTTGTATACATGCAAAAGAAAATCAGACTGTTCCAGACACATGGCATAGCTTGTTGGTTTGGAAACCACATCAAGACAGCTCAGGTAGTGCCGACACTGCAAACGCCACCCACTTGGCGTGCTAAAAAAAATCATATTCATTTCCTTTGAATACCTATTTAAAGATCACAGCGTTGTCGGTAAGAAATGTGTGTGCACATTAGCTCTTCCAAGCTGTTCCCCCAGCAATTAGTTAACATTTAGCTATATTTACCGACAAAAATGCTGTCTTTACTCTCGCCTTCGATGTGCATCACTTCTGTGAAATAGGTCTACAGAAAGCTTAAAGAGCTGTCAAAATGAAATTAGGAGAAGAGGAAGGTAGGGTGGATGTGAAACAGGGGAGGCGAAGGGCTTCCTCTCCTATTGTCCCACTAGGAAGCCATGAACAGTGGGGGGGATAAAAGTTTCACTTTAATCACCATCCCAGGTCTTCCTATTGCTTTTCCTAACAGACAATGGCTCCAGTAGAGTTCAGCCCCGAATACAGAATTATGGCATCGACCTAACATTGTGTTACACACACACACACACACACACACACACACACACACACACACACACACACACACACACAGACAGGATGCACACATACTGTGCAAACAAATGTGACAGCCAATGAAAGAGGAAAGGTGATCGACTGTTCTGCTGTATTTAACAGCAGCTGATTC